TAGAAAATTTCAAAATTCTTACTTTTGGTTTTCACAAGCTAAAAATGGTTTGAAGCAAAGGATTTTCTTGGGTTTTTAGCTGGGATTCCTGGTTTGAAAAGTTTTTTGGATTTGGTATCAATTTCTGGGATCTATCTGATTTATTGTTGATGTGCTGGTTATTGTTGTTGTTCCTGTTCTTCTGAAGTTTAGACAGTTTCTTTTCATCTTATACTTGGTAGTTCTTGGTTGCTGCTTATAGGTATTTAATCCCAGCTCTCTCTTATGTAATGATTAGCTGAAATAATATAAAACTGAAGTTATAAATGACATTATATGATAGCATTTAGTTTGCTTTGGTATGTAGTTGGATGGTTCTATTTATGTGTGTTTAAAGGTCTTGAAATGATTCAGCATATAGTGTAGTCGATGCATAAATGCCTCTTTTCTGGTTCATCTTGCAAAAGTAGTTTGTTTCATAGCTAAACTATAGACTATTACTATTAATTATGAAGTGTGTTGGGTTATCCTTTTCCCTTCTTTCTTCCATCTCATGATTTTCCCTTTTGCTCAAAACTGTTTGTTTTCTTTTTTGCTTGCTTGGTTGTAAGCTGCTGCCTGCAAATTTGGCTACTAATTGGCCAAATCAGCATGTTCAAAACTTGAAAATGGGATCATGCTGTTGTGGACAAATCATGTTCAAAAAGGGGCTAGGATTCTTCATGATATCATTTATGAAGGTTGTAATAGTTTAGCTTTTAATGTATTTAGGTTATGTAACAGTTCTTAACAAAAAGTGTTTATTTTGGAGTTTGTTTATTCTTTTTTCTTTGAAAAAGAAATTGTAATAAATCAGGCATGAGTGTCAATACATTAGGAGCTTAATTATTGTATTTTGTCACGTGTTCTTTTTTACAAAAATAGCAATGATGTTGGGCTTTTAGCCCACTCAGTAGAACCAAAGGTTGCTTATTTGATGAAAAGAGGGGCTGAATTTGTAGCCCAAGTGAAAGATTGGCCTCAAATAAGTTGGGCCTAGTATGTAGGCCCATACTTTAAGTCAGTCCAGAAGCTTTTTTTTGGTCATGAATCATTTTATGTTCAATTGAATCATGTTTAATCTTTAAATTTCATTATTGTTTAAACGAGTAATCAAATTAGAATCATGTTATATATCCTAGTTTTATTTAAAATCAAGTTATTTTTAATTGTTGTAAATATGTGAGTAATGGTTAAGGGTAGAAGGGACAGGCCCAGCTAGAGAAATAGTGACTGGGCCCGCCTGTTTCAGGTCCAATATGAGCCAGCTTGTTCAAACCGGGCCAAGACCAGCAAGAGCCCGCTGGGGCTCTTTCATTTTCCTTGGGCCAAAGTCACAAGCCCAGATGTAGCTTCTTATAAGAGCTGAACCTTCCCGATTTAACCCAGTAATGAACGCTTAGGCCTAAATTCCTTTCCAATAGAATTAATTTAAATTTAGCTCTTCTAATTAAGTGTAATTTCCTCTTAAAAGTGTAATAAGTTGAGGTGCGCCATACCAAACAAAAATTCATAACATATGGCCCTCATATTGATATTAACCTAGTATTAAAATAACCTTAAAACACTCGTAGTTTGCTTTAGGCTTGATTTAGACTAGTATTGTGATTATGTATACGTTCGCGTAACATAATTGCGAATTTAATTCTAAAAAGTAACTCGAGGGATGCGTTCGCGCAACTTCAACCAAATTTTTCTTAATAAAATGAACAAAGCTTTATTAATTATGGACACTTTTGCGTGACATGATTTTTGACGCGCCAAAAGAAAAGAGTATAAGTACGTGTAACTCAATTCTTTAATTACGAATAAATCAAATGATTAAAAGCGATTAAAAAGTTAAATGCACATAGGTCCTAAAATGAGTAGTTAAACAATTTAAGCTTAGTAATAATCACTAAGCGACCGTGCTAGAACCACAGAACCCAGGAAAGCCTAACACCTTCTCTCGGGTTAACAGAATTCCTTATCTAGAATTTCTAATTCGCAGACTTTAAAAAATAAAATTTCCTCGATTTGGGATTTAAAATAAACCAGTGACTTGGGACACCAATTAATTTATCCCAAGTGGCGACTCTGATAAATTAATTAATCTCGTCTCGATTAATGTCACTTTAATTGGAAAAACTCCCATATACCTCTCGGGGTGTAAAAAAGGTGGTGTGACAGCTCTGGCGACTCTGCTAGGGATCGAACCCAGAATCTCTGGTTCAGGGTTCAAGAATTCGAGCTTGTTAATGTGATTTTTATTTGGCTTTATTTATTGTTGATATTACTATATTTTATGTACCAAATGTGCTAATTGACATTTATTTACCGCTTTGATATTACTTGAACTGTATTTAAATGTCTTTTTATGCCTCACTTCTGAGTCTTCTAAAAACGGTTCTCATGTTCGCGTGGCCCACTTTTCTTTTAGAGTTATACCAAATAGAACGGGTCGGGGCAAGCAACAAGGTCGGGCAGACTTTCGTGCTCCCGGTACGTTTTCCCCTCCTCGACTCAAGTTTGTCCGCTCGGGTAAGCCAGGTTTAGAACACAACCCCAGGTTTAAACCTAGAATAACATAGCTTCATGTCGGATGCCTAGTAGGAACGTTTATTTGCATCACGTGCATTTGACCTTGGGGACTCAACACAGAGGTTGGGTCCGTCTAGGACGGGTGTACCCAAAATAAAAGACCATCGTGATGCATCCTACGTGCTATATGAATATTTATTTGTTTTGGCTTGCATGTTGACTGGCTAAGGAAAGAAAGATAACAGAAAAACCAAGAGTGAGGTAGGATACAGAATTTACCCGATTTTTAAAAAAAAATCCCAGTATTTGAAAATGTCTCGAAACTCTGCCAAAATTTATTTCGAAAAGAGTGAGTCAAATATCATGTTTTTTTAAAATTGTGTCAAAATTGATCGAACTACGCAGGTCTGATTCTCTCCGGATGTGGGATACGTAGGCAACCCATATAAGTGATGTTTTAAGCGTCAATACTACACAAGAGGGGGGTGATTTGTGTAGTATCCAATTTTTGCTTAACTGAACTATAGAAGAACATGGTTCTTCTAGGTGTTCCAACTACTACTGTTTGCAGAATAATAAATACAGAAAATAAAGAACACGAAAATTTTTACGTGGAATACACCTGGCTCAAAAGGTAAAAAAACACGACCTACTACTCAGTAGGATTTTCCCAAACTTCCACTAAAATCCCTGAGCCAAAATAGCATTTACAAAAACTCTTTGTAAACCTAAGGATTAACTCTAATCCCGTTGTGGCACACAGTCTCAACTGTTGCGACAACTTCAAGTTAGCTATAACTTGAACACTCTAGGTACCTAATACAATTGCTTCTATGAAAGCTGAAAGGTACAACTTTAAACCACCTACTACAATTGAACTAGAATAAAGATAGACACAATGAAACTGGTTCTTCTATCTCATTCAAGTAGATTTAGGAGTGTACACTCAAATCACACATAAATTGCTTGCAAAATTGCCTTGCTCTTTTGCTCTCAATTTAGTTAACTTCTGCGTATGTGCAGTTCCTGTAAAAGAGAACAACATTGACATTTAGTGGGTTAGTAATCAAAGTTTGATTGGAATTCAATTGCTGCTCTCCTATCGTAGAAGAGTTCATGATGATCCCAAACTCTAACACTATCTTCATCCTAGATTGTGTTCTCTTCATATAAGGAGACTTTCTCCCCTTATCCAATACGCAACCTTTTCGATCAGATCAGGAGATATTGCTGCTTGATCAATAGGACTTATCTCCTTCACGTGCATCTCACATGTATAGGTTTATCATGACTGTGCTTCACAAGATGGACCTGGTCCATGGCTGAGTTCTTTTTGTCATTCTTCAAAACTTCACATGTTCTTGGGCCAACAAATTTGCCCTTTTTGATGGTGACAAACTCTGTGTTTTTTACTGATTTGGAACCTGTAAGAACTCAGCTTAATCATCAATACTAAACTTAGAGAATTCACTTATCATCAAGGACCAGGTTAATTAGGTTATAAATATCACTTATTTTCAGAATGTGTAAAGCAGAATGTGTGTTTTCTTTGGCAAGCTCAGTTCTGAGACCATCCCTCTCAGTTTCCACTTCAATCAGACGAGCCTTAAGCCTAGCTATTTTAGCATCCTTGGTTGCACATTCCTGAACTAGAGTCCTAACTTTGTTGTTGATGGGTGCCTTCTGAGATGAACCAGGTTCATTTGGGATGGAAGTGACTGCATAGTCACAAGCGAGAAGAGTATTTATGCCAAAGTGATCCTTGCTTGAGACCATTTCCCATTTCTTTAGAGGCACATTGAGCCTGTCTAGAACTGTGATTAGAATAAAGCCATAGGGAGTAGCATGGGCCTTGGAGCCGTTTATGACCCTGTCTAGCAGCTTGATAATGAAGGCAGGCCAGTTGATTTCTTTCCTCTCTCCAAGCACTCCATAAGAACTAGATCCATGTAATTAGCAATGTGCCTTCTCTCCTGTCTGGGCAATAAACACTTGTTGACAAACTCAAACAAGACCTTGTGCTCAGGCTTCATTTCACATTTCTGCACAACCCTGGCTTCATTCACCTCTTCTGAATCACAAAACCTCCTGGTGATTGCAAGAGCAGTAGGGAGGGAGTCCGGGCAGGGCCACCTTTGCCTTGTATAGTCATCAAACCCTTCAGAGGGTATGTCCAGGATCTCTCCCAGTTTCTTTGCATCAAACTGCACTTGGACTCCTTTCACCTGGCTACTAACAATGCCATCCTTAACCGCAACATTGGCCATAAATTCAATTAGCTCATTTTTGGCTAGCCTACCATCCATTTGAAGGACCATGTCCTTCCATCCCTGAGCAGCTAAAGCATCCAACAATCTCATCATTCTTGGTTCCACCAGGTCTTTCAGCAGTCTACCCTTTAACATCTTTCTTTTGCCAAACATGGCAAGCTTATCATGTTCCTTCAAAGAATCATTTTCTTCTTATTCTCCACCCCAGTCATCATCTTCAGAAATTTTTGATTGTTTGTTTTTCACTGCTGATCTTGTCCTCTTGGCTAGTGTAGGTTCAGCAGCCTCAAACACAGAGGAAGACTTCTTGGAGGAGGTCTTGGGATTTTTAGGCTTAGGAGTAGGAACCTCCACTGATGTACCCCTTTCTTGATGGACCAGTTCCATATCCTCTTCCTCAACAGCCTCTGAGGATTTTTCAATCTTTCCCTTTCTTTTATCTATTTTCTTTTTCTTACTCTCTTTTAAAGCCCTTTGTAGATCAGCTTCACTTTGTTTCACCCTGCTTCTTGTGGCTCTACCCCTTGGCAGTGAAGAGGTAGTAGGTGTTGGGGATGAAGACTTTCTTTTCTTGGAAGGCTTAGGAACATTGGGGGCTTTTGTTGTGGGAATTCTGCGTTTCTTTGGGTCATAGATTGCCCCAACCTTTTTCAGTAGGTCTGCTAGGGTCTCTTTAGTAGATGAAACATGTTCATCTCTCTATATGCTCAGATGAACCAACCCCTCAGCAACTTCCCCAGAACCACTTCCCCCTGACTTCATGCCACTCCCTTCTACCCTTTCTTGTGCAAACCCACAGATAGCAAGAACTGCTCCCTTCCCATTTCCCCTCTCATCACCACATGCACCCTCTCTCTCTTTTTCTTTTTTAGAATTCTTTTTACCTCCACTCCTTTGTGACCCTGGTACTTCGACAGCCTTAACAGACCCAACCAGAATAAACCTAGATTCTAGATTCTCAGAAGAAATTATCTTAGATGGAGATTCTTGAGTCTTTTCAAAGTCAGAAGACCCAGGTCCTTCCCCCTCAATAACGGATTGATATGATTCAGAATTAGAGCTGGAGCTAGAGTTTTGGGCATGGCTTGCCTTCAACTTTTTATTTAATTTCTTCCTCAGAGCCCCAGACGCTACAGTCTTTCAAGCAAGCATTTTCACCCTACGTAGTCTAGGTTTTGGCGATGTACTGGGTAGAGGAGGTGTGGATGAATTTGGGGGAGATGGTGGTGGAGGAGTTCCAGGATTGTCTTGTGGGTTAGTCATGATTGTTGGTTTCTTGAGAGAAGTTGGGAATTTAGAGTTTTGGAGAAGAGGGCAAGTGAAAGTGAAGAAATATTTTTGACGGTTTGGAATTATTAAGATGGAAGGAGAAATGATGTGTATTTAAAGAGAAATACACATTTAATAGGTAACGGCAGCCTTTTTGCAGTGGTCAAATAGAGGTCTAATCAACCTAAAATTCCAGATTTTGAATGATCGGTTTATCTTCCCTAGATTTTAGGCAAACTTTTTGGTTTAGAGTTCTAGGCAAACGGAACTGGTTCAATGCTAACGGATAGAATTTTCTAGGAATTTTACAAGTATAGGACTTCTGCTCATGATTGAATTATTAATCTTTCTAATTGTGCATAGTATAGAAAACATACCTTAGCTTTCATATGAACCCATACTGATGAACCAGGTTCTTCATTTAGAAGTCTCTTGAACATGCCTCAAATGCCATAATAGAGAATTTTGTAAGAGATCAGTGAGTCATATAAGCACATGTCATAGGAGTATACTAATTAAAGTATGAAGCTGAGTAAGAATTAATCTAGATAATTACACAAGTTTAGAATTCCTAGCCAAAAAATCCTTTTTTCAATTTTTTTTTCATTTTTTTCATTGCATTCTGAGCTGGACCTATTTGGTGATCTTAATCATCCCTAATTCCAACATGTTCCTCCAAAAGTTTTCTCTACTCATTGCTTTAGTGAAGATGTGAGCAATTTGTTTATCAGTAGCACAAAATTCTATGGAGATCAATTCTTTCTCATAGTTATCTCTTAAGAAGTGGTGTCTAACATCTATGTGCTTAGTCCTCTTATGATGAACAGGGTTCTTTGTCATACTTATAGCACTAGTGTTATCACAGAATATAGGAATGCAACCAACTTCAATGCCAAAATCTACTAGCTGCTATTTGATCCATAACAATTGAGCACAATAAGAAGTAGCAGCTACATATTCAGCCTCAGCAGTGGATAAGGCCACTGAATTTTGCTTTTTAGTGTCCCAGGGTACAAGACATGAGCCAAGAAAGTGAGCCATACCTGAGGTGCTTTTCCTATCCACAAGGAAACCTGCATAATAAGCATCAGCATATCCTACTAGATTGAAATTACTACCTTTAGGATACTAAAGACATAGATCAGTGGTGCCTTTCAAATATCTTAGTATCCTCTTGACAGCAGTCAAGTGAGACTCTTTTGGATTGGCCTGAAAGAGAGCACAAAGCCCTACACTAAAAACTATGTCAGGTCTGCTGGCAGTAAGATACAAGAGTGAACCAATCATACCCCTATACAACTTCTGATGAACCAGGTTCATCTATATCTAATTTAGTGGCAGTTGTAATGGGGGTATCTATTTCCTTTGATTCATCCATTTTAAACTTTTTGATCAGCTCTTTTGCATACTTCTACTGATGGATCATGGTTCCATTTGGGCTTTTTTTGATTTGTAAGCCTAAGAAAAAGTTAAGCTCACCCATCATGCTCATTTCAAACTCACTCCCCGTTAATTTGGCAAAATTCTTACTTAGTTTATCAGTGGTGGCCCCAAAGATTATGTCATCAACATATATTTGTACCACAAGGAGATCCTTACCTTTTTCCCTTAAGAATAGGGTACTATCAATTTTACCTCTTTTGTAGCCATGTTCAAGTAGAAATTTGGACAGTCGTTCATACCATGCTCTACGAGCCTGCTTGAGTCCATAGAGAGCCTTGTCTAATTTGTACACATGCTCAGGACATTCCTTGCTCTCAAACCCTGGAGGTTGTTTCACAAACACTTCTTCTTTCAGGTAGCTATTCAGGAAGGCACTTTTGACATCCATCTAATGGAGAGTGAATTCCATGTGTGCAGCAAAGGCTATGAGGAGTCTTATTGCCTCTAGTCTTGCAACTGGAGCAAAAGTCTCATCATAATATATACCCTCCTCTTGGCTGTAACCTTGGATCACAAGTCTTGCCTTGTTTCTTGTCACTGTTCCATCTTCATCAAGTTTGTTTCTAAAGACCCATTTTGTACCAATAACTGATCTGTCCTTGGGTGTTGGAACTAGATGCCAAACTTGACTTCTCTCAAACTGATTGAGTTCATCTTGCATTTCATTCACCCAATTTGCATCCTGCAAAGCCTCAACAACATTTTTAGGTTCAATAAAAGATAAGAAAGCATCAAAAGCACACAGATTCTTTAATTGTGATCTAGTTTTGACTCCAGATGTTGGATCAGTAATTATGTTCTCAATAGGATGAGAACTTTGATACTTGTGAGGTTTCACAACCAACTAATGTCTGTTAGATGTTTCTCCTATGTTCTGTTGCTGAGGAACAGGGTCATGAACAGGTTCTTTTAGGGGATTTGTTTCAATTCCTCTTTGATTAGTTCCCCCTGTCAGGTTGCCCTGAATAGAAGGACCTATTCCATTACCTATTCCTTCTTTTGGTGCCGCTTTAACTTGTGCTGAGACTTCATTCAAATCCTTTACCAATCCAATGGCTTCATCTTCATATTCTTGTCTCTCAGAAAGAATGTTAGTTTCATCAAACACTACATGCACACTTTCTTCTACACACAAAGTTCTTTTATTGAACACTTTATATGCTTTGCTATATGAAGAATATCCCAAGAATACTCCCTCATCACTTCTGGGATCAAACTTACCTAGGGAGTCTTTTCCATTATTGTGCACAAATCACTTGCATCCAAATGCCCTAAGATGGGATATATTTGGTTTTCTCCCTTTAAGTAACTCATAGGGAGTCTTTTCTACAAGAGGTCTAGTCATGCATCTATTGATAATGTAACATGTAGTGTTTACAGCCTCTGCCCAGAAGCTGTGGGGCAGTTTACTAGAAAGAAGCATAGTCCTAGCCATGTCTTCAAGAGTCCTATTCTTTCTTTCAACTACTCCATTTTGTTGAGGAGTCCTAGGGGCAGAGAATTTATGATCTATACCATGTTCATCATAGAATTCATCAAACTTAGCATTTTCAAATTCAGTTCCATGATCAGACCTATTGGATGCAAGTTGATTACCTAGTTGTTTCTGAGTTTTTCTAACAAAAACAGTAAACATGTCAAATGCTTCATCTTAAGATGTTAAAAATAGTACCCAGGTAAATCTAGAATAATCATCAACAAGTACCATTACATATTTCTTTCCACCTCTGCTCATGGTTCTCATTGGACCACAGAGATCCATATGGACCAGTTCCAACGTCTTGGTTGTGCTTACCATTTTCTTGCTTTTGAAGGATGATCTTACCTGCTTCCCCCTTGCACAGGCCTCACAGACATTGTCTTCCTTGAACTTGATGTTAGGTAACCCTATCACCAAGTTCTTAGAGACTAATTTGTTTAGCTGATTCAGACTAGCATGACCAAATTTTTTCTGCCACAGGAGGGAATCACTATCCAACACACTTAGACAGGTGAGTTCATTTTCTAAAAAAATCTACAATGTAAATATTGTTAACTCTTTTTTGCTGCAAAACAATCTTGTCAGTGGTAAGGTTAATCACAAAGCATTTATTAGAGGTGAATGCTACAAGGTTATCTCTGTCACACAGTTGTGACACACTGATCAGGCTGTATTTCAAGCCATCTATCAAGTAGACATTCTTAATGGAGTGAGAGTCTGTCTTACCTACCTTTCCAACCCCAATAATCTCACCTTTCTTCCCATTTCCAAATGAGACATTACCTCCCTTTAAGTCATCAAGTGAAAGGAATTGGTTCTTACTTCCAGTCATATGTTTTGAGCAGCCACTATCCATGTACCATATTTGGCTACTTCCCTTCACTTGGACCTGCAAAAAGAAATCAAGGGTTAGTCTTAGGATACCAAACTAGTTTGGGTCCCTTTCTATAGGCAAAGGGATAAATCAAATTCCTTTTAGCCCACCCAGGCAGCCTATTTTTCTCTTGAACAAAAGCTTTGTTCTTTTGACTGGCCTTTTCTTTTGCATTACATTCATTTTTGTAATGGCCAGCCTTGTCACAGTGTGTGCAGATTTTGTTCTCAGGGAAAGTGAGGTACTTTCTTTTGGGATCCCACTTAGGTGCTTGAGTCTTATATCCAAGTCCTCTTTTTTTGCTACAGTGATGTTCTTGTAGCCAGGAAAGTGCATCAGAAGCCTTGTTCCATTTGCAACTTCTGTCTAGTTCATGTTTTACCTTCCTTAGATTTTTTTTAAGACTTTTATCTGTTCATCCTTCCTGTATAACTCATCCTTCATTTTTCCTAAGCTTTCTTCTAGGGTGAGATATGTGTGGTCAGCTTTCTTCTTACATGTTCCTAGTTTCATTTTTAAGTTCTCGGACCTAAGTTTTAGGACACTGGTGTCAATTTCAAGAACCTGGTTCTTCAACTCAGCATTTTTACTATCACTCTCATTAGCCCTAGATTCTAGATTTTTGCACTTGGCTTTTAGGATCAGACATTCCCTAGACAGATCTTCCTTCTCATTGTTAATTATCTCGGACTCATCAATGAAGTCTAGCAATAGCCCAGACAACCTTTCTTTAGACAAGAATTTAATCTTGTCTTTGA